ACTACGGGGCAATAAGAGAAAGGTTCCTGGATGTTCTTAATAACTTATGTCCTAGCAACTTGACTCGGCTTTGAAATGGGTATCGTGACACCCGTGCATGGACACACTGGCTGCGTCTAGACTAGCAAATTTTTCTGCAAAAGCACGTGCTTTTGCGGAAAAACTTGCCAGCTGTGCTTCTTGCGGAAATACTATTCTGCTCCCGTTCAGGCAAAAGTCCTTTTGCGCAAAGCTTTTGCGCAAAAGGGCCAGTGTAGACAGCTCAGATTTGTTTTGTGCAAAAAAGCCCCGATGGCGAAAATGGCGATCGGGGCTTTTTTTTGTGGAAAAGCGCATCTAGATTGGCCACAGATGCTTTGCGCAAAAGTGCTTTTGCGGAAAAGCGTCCGTGCCAATCTAGATGCGCTTTTCCGCAAATGCTTTTACCGGAAAACTTTTCCGGTAAAAGCATTTGCGGAAAATCATGCTAGTCTAGACGTAGCCACTCAGTTTGGTTTCAAAGAGGCTGATTTCAGTGTCGCTGAAATCGATGCCCCACTGATTTCAGCTCAGTCGAAATGATCAGGTGTCGACTGGATTAAGACAATCCACGTCAGCTTGGGCATTCAGTTCACTCCAGGGGTTTAAATGCATTGTGTACGTGACACGGGAGAATCATAGAATCATAGAATAATAGGACTGGAAGGGACCTCGAGAGGTCATCAAGGCAGGACCAAGCTCCGTCTACACCATCCCTGACAGATGTCTATCTAACCTGTTCTTAAATATCTCCAGAGAGGGAGACTCCACCACCTCCCTTGGCAATTTATTCCAATATTTGACCACCCTGACAGTTAGGAATTTTTTCCTAATGTCCAATCTAAACCTCCCCTGCTGCACTTTAAGCCCATTACTCCTTGTCCTGTCCTCGGAAACCAAGAGGAACAAATTTTCTCCTTCCTCCTTGTGACACCCTTTTAGAGGAGGCTGAATGCTCCGCCTAAGGCACCCCAAAATGCCATCAGCCTTCTTGGCTACAGGGGTGCCTTGTTGACTCATCTCCGGCTTCTCAAAGCTGTCACCCCCAGGTCCCTTTCTGCTGAACTGCGGCTGAGCCTGAAATTGTGCCCGGTTGAGTGAGGGGTAGGAGCAGGGAAGGAGGGAGGACAGAGGACACAGAGGGAAGGATGGAAGAAAGAAGGACGTTGGCTGTGAAAACCCACCTGCCTTTGAATTCCTGTTCTCCTCTCGCCGTCTCGGCTGTGAAGGAAGCTGGGCTAGACCGGGGCTGATATCGGCTCTCTGAGAGGCTGGGTCCTTGGGATTTGGTCTCTGGGGAGGCCAAGTCTGGATTTAGTCCTTTAATGATTTTTGAAAATAGATAGCAGTACCAGGGACATCTTCCCATCCTCCCCACAGCCAACATCCCTGGAAACATTGGTCCAAGAAGCTAATGGCATATTAGGGTGCACTAGGAGGAGCATTGCCAGCAGTTCTAGAGAAGTGATTATTCCCAAGAAGGCAGCACTGGGGAGGCCACATCTGGAGTATTACATCCAATTCTGGGGCCCCCACTACAGCGAGGATGTGGGCTTATTGGAGACGGTCCAGTGGTGGGCCCTATCTTGGGCAGGGGGCTGCACTTGATGACCTCCTGGGGTCTCTTCCAGCTCTAGGATTCTATGATGCGGGGGCTGGAGGACATGACCTATGACAAGAAGGCAGCACTGGGGAGGCCACATCTGGAGTATTACATCCAATTCTGGGGCCCCCACTACAGCGAGGATGTGGGCTTATTGGAGACGGTCCAGTGGTGGGCCCTATCTTGGGCAGGGGGCTGCACTTGATGACCTCCTGGGGTCTCTTCCAGCTCTAGGATTCTATGATGCGGGGGCTGGAGGACATGACCTATGAGGAGAGGCTGAGCGATTTGGGCTTGTGTAGTCTGCAGAAGAGAAGAGCGAGGGGGGATTTGAGAGCAGCCTTCAACTGCCTGAAGGGGGGTTCCACAGAGGATGGAGAGAGGCTGTTCTCAGGGGTGGTCAATGGCAGAACAAGGAGCAATGGTCTCACGTTGAAGTGGGGGAGGTCTAGGTTGGAGATTAGGAAAAACGATTTCCCTAGGAGGGTGGGGAAGCGCTGGGATGGGTTCCTTAGGGAGGGTGTGGAATCTCCATCCCTAGAGGTTTTCAAGTCTCGGCTTAACAAAGCCCTGTATGGGATGGTTGAGTTGGGTTGGTCCTGCTTTGGGCTGGGGGCTGGACTTGATGACTCCTGAGGTCTCTGCCCATCCTGGGATTCTCTGATTCGAAGAGGTGACCAGTTTGAAAGTCCCAATCCCTTGGGCAGATAGCGAATTCTGTCTAGTAGGAAGGCCGGGTCTCTGTCTCCAGCTGGTGCTGAGCTCTCTGATTTTCTTTTCCCACTTTCTGAAGATGGGACACTCGCCCCGTCCCCCACGGCACATGATGGCCACAGGTTAGCGCTGGGTGGGCTCCACCCCAGAGCTGGCTGTATCTTTGTACACCGAGTCGTCCAGTTAGACCTCATGCTGTGCGGGGAGGGTGTGTTTCTTCTTTGCCAAGCCCGGAGATGAGCAAAACTTTGTCTGGGGTACCCATGGTGTGGGCTCTGTGCTCAGCCGCCAACTCGTTAATCCTTATTAATTCATTAGTCTGTCACAGGCCCCCTTGGCTTCTCTAGGCCAATCTGTTCACCCGCTATGGCCTTCCCTTCTCCCCCACTCTGGTTGCCACCCAATGGAGAAGACTGAACTTCAGAAACTGGAAAATATCGGGTTTTTCCATTTTCACCAAAATAGGGTATTCTCCTGGGGGCTGGAGAGGTCGTAAGGGACCTGGAAGCGAGGGGTCTCCAAACTGAGGGGAGGAGACAAACGTTCCCTGTAATTGTTCCCATCCATGTGCAGAATAAATTTTGTTCTGCGCACCGAGGAATGTGCACCACCAATAGAAACACAGACGGCGGACCCTGTGGGTGAAGCATTTCTCCAGCTTCAGGTCAGGCAGTCGAATGTCAAGCTAGCCTGACCCACCGATCTGGCTGCACATTTTTCAACCCGACATCTTCTGTGAAAAGGTCATGCTCACTCGGACGTCTCCGCACCATTCCCTGATGTCCTGGAAAGTTGAATATTTTGGGAACATGTGCATGGCCACCTAGACTCCTCCCAAAACTTTTTTCTGGTCATAAAATCATAGAATAGAATCATAGAACTGGAAGAGACCTCAGAAGGTCATCAAGTCCAGCCCCCTGCTCTAGGCAGGACCAATTCCAACTAAATCAACCCGGCCAGGGCTTTGTCAAGCCGGGACTTAAACACCTCTAGGGATGGAGACTCCACTACTTCCCTAGGTAACCCATTCCAGTGTTTCACCACCCTCCTAGTGAAATAGTTTTTCCTAATATCCAACCTGGACCTCTCCCACCACAACTTGAGACCATTGCTCCTTGTTCATGGGATGGATGTGAGAGAAGGTATCCCAATGGGTCAATACTGGGCTAAAATAGTTCCGTTTTCACAGTGGAGAGCACGACCCTCTCAGGCATCTGTACTCAAATTAGTGCTGGTCAACATAGAATCATAGAACCCTAGAACTGGAAGGGCCCTTGAGAGGTCATCGAGTCCAGTCCCCTGCCCTCACGGGAGGGCCAAGCACCATCTAGACCATCCCTGACAGGCGTCTGTCCAACCTGCTCTTAAATATCTCCAGAGATGGAGATTCCACAACCTCCCTGGGCAATTTATTCCAGTGTTTCACCGCCCGGATAGGTAGGAAGTTTTTCCTAATGTCCAACCGAAACCTCCCTTGCTGCAATTTAAGCCCGTCGCTTGTCCTAGCATCACAGGCCAAGGAGAACCATGTTTTCTCCCTCCTCCTCATAACACCCTTTTAGGTACTTGAAAACCAGGATCTCAACATCTTTCAGTTCCTGAAAGCAGGCGTGTGGTGAGCAACCCACGAGAAGTCATTCTTCCGCTCAACCTTGCGCTGGTTAGGCCTCAGTTGGAGGATTGTGTCTCGTTTGTGGGCACCACATTTCAAGAAAGCTGTGGAGAAATTGGAGAAGGTCTAGAGAAGAGCAACAAAATTGATGAAAGGCCTAGAGAACATGAGCTGTGAGGGAAGGCTGAAAGAACTGGGCTTGTTTAGTTTGGAAAGGAGAAGACTGAGAGGGGATGTGAGAGCAGTTGTCAAGTCTCTAAAGAGGTGTCACAAGAAGGAGGGGAGGAAATTGTTCTCCTCGACATCTGAGGAGAGGACAAGAAGCAATGGGCTTAAATTGCAGCAAGGGAGGTTCAGGTTGGACATTAGGTAAAACTTCCTGCCTGTCCGGGTGATGAAACACTGGAATAAATTGCCCAGGGAGGTTGTGGAGTCTCCATCACTGGAGATATTGAAGAGCAGGTTGGACAGACGCCTGTCAGGGATGGTCTAGATGGTGTTTGGTGCTGCCGTGAGGGCAGGGGACTGGACTTGCTGACCTCTCGAGGTCCCTTCCAGGTCTAGGATTCTATGGTTCTCAAGCAGCTCTCATGTCCCCTCTCAGTCTTCTCTTCTGGAAATTAAACAAACCCCATTCTTCCCGTCTTCCCCCGTAGCTCATGCTCTCTAGACCATATTCATAAATAATGTGGGGGAAAGCAGAGAGGTGGCAAAACTTGCCAGTTACCAAATTCCAAAAGTTGGTTGGGTCCAAAGGTGACTGCATTGACTCCAGTGGGCGTACAAGAGATTCACAGTAGACGCGGGTGCGACCTTTTGTATTTGTTCAGTCTCTCTGAAAAGATTGAGAGCCCCCATGAATCAAACACTTTTAAGGCATCATGTGATACAACATAGGCCACATGTGCCTTTTATTTTATTGTTGTCAGCAGATAGAGAAATTATAATGGATGAAGAAAGAAAGAAAGAAAGAAAGAAAGAAAGAAAGAAAGAAAGAAAGAAAGAAAGAAATGAGGAACTAAAAGGAGAAAGAAAGAAAGAAAGAAAGAAAGAAAGAAAGAAAGAAAGAAAGAAAGAAAGAAAGAAAGAAAGAAACGAGGAACTAAAAGGTGAAAGAAAGAAAGAAAGAAAGAAAGAAACGAGGAACTAAAAGGTGGAAGAAAGAAAGAAAGAAAGAAAGAAAGAAAGAAAAGAGAAGTTGGTCCTTCCATTCCAACAGAGTTGAAAATCAGTTAAAGTAAATCCAAGCAACACTGAATTCCTCCACAGTTCTTTCCCCAGTGGGGATAAATGAGTCCTTAGCAATTAAAAGTTCCTCTCTTGCAATTAAACCACAGGGCTAAGAGCTGAGTAAGTGAAAAGTGGCAGGAAAGTTTCTCTCCACTTCAGATTCGCTGGCCAAGAAAATGATTTCGAAACTCTGTCGCGGGCCCGATCCGAGCTGCTGTCAATCAGCAGTTCACCCCAGGGGCGTTAGGGAGGCCAGAAATCTGACCTTGCTCTAGCAGCGTCCTAGGGACGAATCCATATCCATGGACATCCAAGTAGCTTTCTTGCAATTACAGGGCCATGTCGCCCCTTTGCCATTGGCTGTGTCTGTGGGACCCACATTGGGCCTCCGGGCCAGCCAGAGCGGTGGGATCATCTCGGGGCCACGTCCCAAGAGCTGCTGGTGCAAGGCGGGAGACCAAACATCTCGGCTGCCCCAGAGCGAGCTGTGAGGGGTTCGTGAGGGACCAGGCTGTCCCAGGCCAGCTGAGGCTCGGGGCCCACCGGGCTCTGAGCTTTCTCAGTCCCGTGTCTGCACCACCGATATACACCGTGTCCTGCTGTCTCCGTGGGGCACCATCGGGAACTCGGCTTGGCCTCGACAGCCTCCCAGAGATGCGGTCCCCCTTTCTGGGGCGAGCATCCACTCGGGCCAGCTGTCGGGGCGCTTAGCTCTGGAGGTGAGATCCGAGCTCAGCCCCGGAGACTGGATTCGGCTTCTTCCCGCCAGGCTGGGACCACCCCAGGCTGTGAGTGTTGTGAATTTGCCGAAGCTAGGAGCAGCCTCACGGCTGGAAGAGGGTTTCTCGCTCCTTTATTTTGCCCTGGGACTGTCAGCCCAGCCTGCCGGAGGAGCGGAGGACGTGCCGTGCCCATCTGCGGTGTTGGATGTCAGCGAGACCCAGCCACTCACGAATGACGGTAACGGGGGAGGAAAACTTTTCCAGCATCCCACCAGAATGGGGCTGTATTAATTGGTGGCTGTATTAATAGACGAGGAATGATGAATCCAAGCAAGCAACAGTCCAAAGGCCAGCCTGGTAAGTGTGCAGATTTCAGTTCGACTCTTGCTCTACTGTAGAAATGTAATAATAGACTTCAGAGTTACAAGAGAAACTCTTTACGATCTTTGCTATCCCATGTCCGGAGCTATTTAACATTTCCCCCCCTGCAGGAATAAAAAAAATCAGTTTTCATAGAAGGTGTGACGAAAAAATGAGAGAAAGTAACAACCCAAACAATTGCTGTTAAAAATGGAGGAAAAATGCTTTTTACAAATTTTCCAATACGTATGTTTGGCTAGATTGACCTGGCATTGCTCGGATCCTTAAATCAATTAGGGATTTTTTTTAAGTAAAGTGAAGAAAATGTACAGGCTTTATTGAAATGATTGCGTTTTTTCCAAAATTAAGGGAAAATACAGTTCATATTAATAAAAGACTTAAAGGGATTCAACTATTAGATAGACCTTGTTGGTAGACAATATTTGATTTTTTTTTTGGTTATGGGTTAATTGCGAAAATAAACAGGGATTTTTCCATTAGTTGGGATGGTTTCGTTGGGATTGGTCCTGCTTTTCGCAGGTGGTTGTACTCGATGACCTCCTGAGGTCTCTTCCAACCCAAAGAGTGGATGACTCTAGGATATAGCAACATACAGTTGGCCATAGAATCAGAGTTGAAAGAAACCTCAGAAGGTCATCAAGTCCAGCCCGCAGCTCGAATCAGGATCAGCATGTCCAAAAGAATCGATTTTCAACTTCGTTCCTGTAATTTTGAAGGACTGACCCTGCTCTCTGTTTATTGTTATCGCGAAAGCAAGTCATGCTGAGAATTGATAGAGGTCTATAAAATCATGGTGTGGAAAAAGTGAATAAGGAAAAGTTATTTTCTTCTTCACACAGTATAAGAGTGAGAAGTCACCAAATGAAATGAATAGGCAGCAGGTTTAAAACAAACAAAAGGAAGTTTTTCATCTCTCAGTGCACAGTTCACCCGTGGAACTCCTTGCCAGAGGATGTGGTGAAGGCCAGGACTTTAACAGGGTTCAAAAAAGAGCTAGATAGATTCATGGAGGTTAGGTTCATCAGTGGCTGTTAGCCAGAATGGTTGGGAAGGGTGTCCCTAGCCTCTGTTTCTCTGGAGGTAGATATCAGGGGAGGACTCAAGTGAGGATTACCTGTTCTATTAACTCCCTTTCTTGATGTGAGTGTCCACCGACCACTAGTGGTGAGCATGTTTAAAAGTTTTAAAAGGGGTGGTCTGTGTTATCTGTGAGGGTACATCTACACAACAGAGATGAAGTTGAATTAAGTCGTGGAACTTCAGCTGAGGTCGAAATGGTTTCACGCGACTTTTGGCGCTGTCTATGCAGCAGGAAGTCGAAGGCAGAACCCTCTCCCTCTGACTTCCCTGACTCCTCGTGAAATGAGGGTTACAGAAGCCGGAGCATGACGTCCTCCAGCGCGCCAGTATTTCAAAAGAACGGCATGCAGTGTTGACGCTCACGTTGGCTACGTCTACACTGGCATGATTTTCCGAAAATGCTTTTAACGGAAAAGTTTTCCGTTAAAAGCATTTTCGGAAAAGCACGTCTAGATTGGCAGGATGCTTTTCCGCAAAAGCACTTTTTGCCGA